ATTATAAAACATAAACCATAATAATAATAGACATAAACCATAATTATAAAACAGAAAAATAACAAAGAAAATATTTAGATAAATTAGTATTGCGATGTTTTTTTTTTTCTTCATAAGAATCCAACTCAGTATAAAAAAAAGTATTAGAGATTTACATGACTCACGCATATTATATATATAACCAATTGAGGACCTGTGTAGTAATGTCGCAGTATTTGGCACATGACATAGTATATAAAATAAAAATATATAAAAAAATTCAAATAAATAACAGAGGATAAATCATAGAAATTTCAAATAATGAGATAATACTACATAAAATTAAATTGCGTTTATGGAAGTGGGTTACTAATTCTGTTTCCGGTTGTTTTTTTAGTTACATTAGTTGGTATTATAACTTGAGATTTGTGCTTCTCATAATTTCTACTTTGGATTTGAATTCTAATTATATTTCTGTGTCTTGTTACTCTTGTAACATGTTTGGAGTATTCCTTGTATTCCCTTTAATTTAAATCTCTTTTATTTATAAAAAAAAAACTACATAAAATTAAGCATCACATTCTTAATCAAATTCACAATATGGTTCTGATCACTTGTTCGAATTCTCTTTCTTGAAAACTTTTTTCTGCTTCTTCTAGAATTTTATTTAAATAAAATTCATAATGTGTAGGTATATACATTTAATAAAATCCCTAATTGTTGTATGCTTTTATTCGTGAAGCTTATCACAAATGAGTAGAAATCTTGATTTAGTTGTGTACAATCTTCAACGCCATTTAATTTGTCCTAATTAAGCAAGAATGCATCAGTATTGACATGTTGTATACTATATATGATATATCACGTTACTCCTCAACTACTTCTACTTTAGCTCTTGGGGTGCAAGTGTACGTCATCACCAGGATTTACTCTCATGAAAATTTCAACCCTTTCTATTCTCCCTTTGTATTTTTAACATAAACGTGAAAATTTTCTTTAAATTCCATTAACATGACAATATTTGAAATAAAGTCTATTTTATTTATTTTTGTGAGGACATGTGAAGAAAAGGGAGTCTCATTTTATCTTTAAATATTTATTGGCCATTTCGAGGTAAGGGTGTAAAATAATTACTCATTTAATTGTTTTTAATTAAGAATATAATTGATACAAATTAATATCATCATAAACTTTTAAAAATAACGTATAAATGGTGGAAATTTTTCTTAAGATGTCCAATACAAAGAAACAGAAAGAGTACTTTTTTTTTATAGTTATATTATGCTATTGATAGGAGTATTTACTGATTTTCTTAGAAACTAATTTCTCTCACGACTTCGATTGCATTAAAAGGTAAATTAAGTTTGCACTTTTTTTTAAATTTGTAAAAAAAAATGAACTAAAAATACAAGGAATCCTTAATCAATTGCAAAATTAAAATAAAAAATTCAATAATTCTATTTAATGAACTTATTTAAAAGTGACATTTGATGCATTCATAAAAGGTTAATTAAGTTTGCAATGTTCTTTAAAGTAAAGTAAATATAAATAAATACATTTGTAAGTGGTCTTTATTATGTAGAAATTTTAGGTTTTGTTCGAGGTGATTTTTAGTTTTTGGGTTTTGAAAACATATTTCAAATAAAAATTCTTTCTGTTTTGAAAGTTATATGATTGGTATCACGATAATAAAAAAAAATTCATTGAAAATAAAAAATAAAATAAATAAAAGGTATTTTAAGAATAATTTTTGTTAAATAGTACAGACCAATTAAGATTTATTTAGATTTTAAATTTTCGTACCCAAGTCTAGATTTGTTTATATTCAATCAAAATACTACATGTATGCATGCATGGAGGAGTTTTAACAAAATATTTATTGTTAAATAATTTTTTTAAATTATAAAATTACTAGTGAAAGGTTCATTAAATAAAAAGTGAAATTCATGTTCTAAATTGTATTATCCATAAATTTTAGTTGATAATATTTTAAAAAATAAGTTAAAAATATCTTGGGATCTAATATCTTAATATATACGGTAACTTTGATATATTTTGTACAGTACAAAGTATATAGAGAAAATATATTAGCTAATGATTAAATTTATGGATAATTAAATTTAATCAGTCAATATCAACAAAGTTAAAAGTAGCTAGAAGATAACTAAATTTTCTTAAGTTTATTGTTAGAGTTCAATTCATGTTCATGTGAAAGAAAAAATCCACTTTAATACGATAATTATAAGTAAACGTGAAATCTTTCTATAATTACTGAAAAAAATTAGAAAGTAAAAAAATCTATGTCTAAAAAGGATGTACATGTACGCAAAGAAATAATCAAGAAGATAAAATAAGAGGTAGGTAAAGGTAAATATAAGAAAAGTTGTCAATGGTCTTGTCAAAGTAATAATTTTTACATCGCCAATTAATAAATTACTATTTATATAATTTTAAGAATAATCATGACTAAAATAAATAAACACATGATAATTTGTATAATAATATAAAATTATCGTGAGTTAATTTTTTTTATATATAATTGAAAAATACATGATATACATATTTTTAAAAAATTTTCCATCTCACATTTATGTGAAACAATAAAACGAAAGTGTAGCTAAGTAAAATAAAATTACACGCAACAAAATAATGTAAAAAGAAATTGTATATTATTAAAAAATAATATATATGGAAGATGGAAGAGAGAGGGAGAGGTTTGTTGTTACAAATACGGGAGCATGGTGCACGGAGCACGTGAGGAAGCAGTAAGTCACGTGCGATCATCCCCTGCCGTTGGTCTACCCCGCGTGCGGTGGGGACCATTTATCGCCACTTTTATGTTGCCACATTCGGCGCCCTTTCTCTTTCTGCCCACTTCAACCCTTCACGTCGTTATAACCGCCGTTAAGGATCGTTACTTCCTCTCTTCTCCTTCCCTCACCTTCCCACTTTGCCCTTTCCTAATCCAACACCTATATTTTTATTTTCTTTTCATTTAACCCACTTTATTCAACTTCCACCCTCTATAAATTATTAAAGTTTCAAATTTTGTTCTTGCTTAATTTTAATACAATTACAGTTCTTTTTTACATACTGCATTATGATATCATTTCGTGTTAATTTATTTTTGAAGAATTACATTAGAGAATTCATTGTTCATAATGTAAATTGATATATTAAAATAATTATTAAACTCATATTTAACGAGTTATAATGTTAAACATGAAACTGATTCATCTAATCATTAGTAATTGACCTAATAAAGTCGATTATGAACTTAAACGTTACACAATTCTTAAGACTCTAGTGCTAAAATATGAAGAAGCCAAAATTCAACCTATATACTTAGTGTTTTATAATAAACTCGGTTAAAAACTATGATTGTAAAAAGTAATTAGTCTTTTATTAATTTGTTTTGGTGAATTAATTTTTTTAAAGGCATGAGGTTAATGAAGAAAGAATAATGAAGGGTTTGATTAAGGTTGAGATGGAGGAAGGAAGGGGAAAAGGGAAAAAGAAAGGAGTAACAAGGGGATGAATTGGGATTATATAGAGGGAAGATTAAGGAAAGCAAAGGTACAAGAAAGCACGTGGTGGAGTGGAGTGGACTTGGTGGATGGGATGGGATGGGATGGGATGGGATGGGATGGGATGGCGGTGCCATCTCTCTCTCTCTCTCTCTCTCTCTCTCTCTCTGTGTGTCGCTTTCTATCTCGTGACGGTGTCACGTGGGGGTGGGTAAGGGTCCCACAAATGCACCCATCAAAAAGCAACACACAAAATAAAAAAGGGAGAAGGCAAAAACTTAGTGGGGGCATGTGCTCTTCTTTCTCAACTGACCTGTCGTTTATGGGTCATTCAAATCTGAAAGCGATCCCAGCACACAGAGAGACACTCTTCTTTCTTTCACATGACGTGGCTCACTCACGTGCCTCTCTCTCGTGCCTCTTTTTTCCTTTGTCGTTTACCTACACCTCATACCTCATGGTAGGACAAGTGTCTCCATCCACCCGAATCAATCTCCAACACAAACCCTCATGGGCCTCACATTCACATTCACATTCATATTGTATTACTTTAATATCTCTATTTCCTATTCGCACCACTTTACATTTCATTTTCTTCTTTCTTTTTTTTAACCATTTCTACAATAAATACCAATAAACTTCAATTATCATTACTCATATAATCAACAGTATCTAACATAGTTGCATCCTGTCAATCAACACTTTTAATTACTTACATTTCTTTAATAATGTATACCTTTCAGGAATATGTTTCCTAAATTTTAATACTTGTCTATCTAATTTCCTTTTATTTTCAAAAAACAAATAATTTTTATTTTACTTATAATGATAAAATTAAATTATAGCTTATTTTGCAATTCCAAATCATGCAAGACTATCCATTTATTTATTTTATACAATACAATAAACAATGAATCAACGTAATTAACTCCATGTCTGCATCCGCTTAATTTCCTCTGGCAATCCCTTCCCTATTTTTGCTTCTCAATTTTTCTATGGACTGGGCCATTAAAAATGTTACTTTTATACGTTGAATCCTGAACCATTGCTAAGACAAACCTTTTGGACCCAAAACAAGAACAAAAAAGATTAACACTTCGTTTAGGCTAAACCGCTTCTAAATAGTACATAGTAAACGAGAACCATTGCACCACGTTATTATGACGAATAGGAGATTAAAAAAAAAAAAACTATTCTTAGCTGAAGAGGTTGCAAACTGTAGCAGCTTTGGTGGTGACAGAGCTTGTGTCAATTGTTTGCACTCTCCTGATATAATGGGAAAATGTTCAAATGCTTTAAGTACTTTGATGATTCCTGACGTAATGGAAGTCCACACACTCATTGGAGACAACTGTATAGCTATAGCGTTTTGCTTTTTCTCTGTACCCAAACAAGTGATACACTTGCATTGTGCAAAAATATGTTTCTTCCATGTATTCGCCTTCAATGATGATTATTGTGCAATCTTGAAGAATCAGTAAACGAATACTCTAATTTTCAATTTATATTCTCAACTTGTATTTCATCCAGGTCTAGGTGGAAAGTAAATAATAGTATAATACACTGCTTTCCCCTACCTCATAAAACTTACAATGCAATTTCTTGAGCCACGAATTAACATAATTTTATTTTTAGTTTACAGAGTAGCTGCATGAGAACAATAATCACAGCAATCAAAGACACATAATGTACTCTCACCAAAGAAAAAACAAATTAATGTAGATCAAGCGCTACCTAGTTTCTCCAACATGATGGAATTGACAACCTTGTTTACAAAGGCATAAAAGCATTGCCTGCAACAATTAGGCATTAAAGTATATTTCTGAAACTGAAGAGCATTGTCGGCATGGCTGCATACTGAACTAGAGGATATACTAGACTTTGGTTGTTCGGAACTGCAGGCAGCCAATATGGTATGGGTGGCCTGCCTTGCCACTACCTTGAAGGTATCAACACCTGCATCGTGAATAGCTTCAAGAGTTCAAGTGAAATACTTTCATTCAAGAAACAGTTATCTTTTGCATGCAACCTGTTTAACAATTTACAACACGCAAGAAAAACAGAAAGAAAGTTTCTCATAAAATTTATTGTCTTGCATGGGTAAATTGAGAAAGACAGTGAGGGATAGAATTTATGTCTGGCTCTGGCATAGAGGTGCACTCTATCTCTCCATCTCACATCAAATGAACGAAAATGAGATAAAGTTGATATGCTAAATGTAGAATGCTAACCAAATGAATTCGGTGCATGTTTGGAAATAATTATTTTTAAGAAATTATTTTTTATTTTTCAAAAAAAAAAAATCTCAAGATGTTGACAAAGGTACGTGATTATTTCTGCAAAATAAGCTCAACTAAACACACACTCTACCTAATTAAAAGAACAAATATGGATTGCATAAGGTGTACAGAAAACATCTATAACTATAAATATTTCAGCCAACAATGATCATGTAAATATACAAGGAAAAAAAAAAGGTTTGATATCAAATTACCTAATTTTGTTTCTCTAGTTAAGAGCTTCAGATTCAACTTAACAAGAGACTGGATCTCAGTTTTAGCATCGTCAGTTGTTCTTGTGTTTCCATCCTCAAAGCTTTTAGCCAATCTCTTTTCTTCATCAACAAGATCCACATCCCTATTATAGGAGAATACACCACCAAACTTGCCATGAGAGGAAGCTAAATCTGCTGAAGTTACCAAGCAAGCAGATGAGCTTTGTTCCTCAGCACCATTTCTCTCTCCATCTTCACGACAGGGAACAGCCTGGATACTAGTATGGACCTTTCTGGACAATGGACGATCACAATATCCTTCTGAATGATCAGTATAGTCCCTCACATGCATCATCTCCTCACATGTAACCCTACTTTGCTTTTTCTCTCCCAACTTCAGAATTGAGCGATTTTTCAAATTGTGGTCAAGTCTAGAATATTCACACATCTCTTTTTTAATGTTCCTCAAGTCTAATGTTTTGGAATGTTGATCTTTCAGTTTTGGGACATTACAATGTCCAAATGATAATTTTCTAGCTCCTCCACTGCCTGAGGGTTTATCCACTCCCTGCGGAATACTGCATGTTCTTTGATGAGTTGGTTGAGTCCTCTTTGCCCTGTCCATCATTTTCCAAGCCTTGTCAACATCCTTAGAGTCTCTCTTGGTCAACGTTTTGTTAGAAGGACCACCTTGGACAGAGGATTGTTGAAGGCTTGTGGAAGCCATAGGATGCGAATCATCTAATATGTGATGTGATAAGGAACTAGAATCTTGGTTTTGACTAACTGTGCTGCCAGGTTGAAATGAATTGCCATGGAACCTTAATGAACCAGTTCTCAAAGCATTCCAATTTTGACGAAGAGACTGTATATTACACTGCATATGATGGACACCTACAACAGGACTTTTTCCTTTGAATCTGCTCAATCTATCAGATGACGGAATAACAGAAGGAGATGACAGGTACTGTTGTAAAGGAGATGATAGGTTCTGCTGTGAAGGAGATGACAGATTCTGTTGTAAGTAAGATGCCCTTGGCTGTTTTTTAACCACCCGGCTGCCAGTTTCCCTCACAATATCAGAGATATCAATGGTTACACTTGGCTCAGCTGCTGGTGAAACATTTTGGTGGTTTGATTCTACATTGGTATTGGTCTCCCGGGATATAGCACAATCGTGACAAAACCAATCACCTTCGGGAACAGTATAGCCCAGGCCAACACAATATGTGTGTGAAGCAGTATCACAAAGATCACAAAGTAGTAGGAGATGTTCATCTGTCTCAGCATGACATGTACTACATTTGGTTTCAGCATAAGAACCAACAGGACCAGTTGCCACATTACCATGAGGATGATAAACCTACAAAACATAAGATATCATTTGCTTATTAACATTAATGCATCTACTACATAAATATTATCTCTTCCATTCTTTAAGTTCATTGGATTACCAGCTCAAATTAATTTATAAATTAAGAGAATTATGATATAGTATCTCTTTATTTTGATGCCTGTTGGTCTAAATAAGCTCCACTTGTGACATAAATTTAATGAGTTCGACAATAAATGTCAAACTCATTAAATTATATGGCAACACATAATTAGATAATGTAAAACTGACAATGAGTCAAAGCTAGATTCTAAGAAAATTTGGACATTAAAGCCAACACATTATTAGATACTGTAAGCCTTTTTCCCCCTCATTCAAGTCACGTTATATAGCTAGGATTATATTAATATCAAGATTGAGATTTGTTTCCAATTAGGGTTTAATATCAGGGGTTTATGTTTTAACAGTTAACTGATTGTTAACTTCAAGAACAGCCCTCAATTGATTGTGACATCTCGGTCCTTTCTTTCATCTCCATTCCTATCCAACTTCGGGAACCCTCCACATTCTGTTGAACTTGAAAAATATAAATTAGCATTTATCAATAATTTAAATATTGTTTAAATTATTTATGTATCAATTATGGAGCTATATTTTATATTAATGTGGTTAATTGTTAGTCACTGTTTTATGAGTGACCCTATTCTCATCTTGTAAGTAAAATAAATTGTCTTCCTGTTAAGCAATTTTCACACACACATGAATACGTGATAGGCTGAGGATAGTTCTCCTTCCCAAATTGCTCAACATAGTGATTTCTCTTCTTCAATTATCATGGATTTCGAAATAAACCGGGTACACATTCTTATATATCTTCAAGTGATATCGAGTTCAAAATCATTATGGTTGACTTAGGTATTGTTTCTTTACGTTTACCTTCATATTATACTTCATTGTTAAGAGATGTTATTTATGTACCTTCCAAGATTGTTAAAATCGGGATTTTACCTAGGATCGGGAGGGTGCTTGGATTGTAAAATCCATCATTCTTGCCTAAAATATAAAATTATACTTGTGTATATATATACACACACGTGTAAGTATAATAACCAACATATATATAAAAGTAACTTCTAAATCACAAACATTAGACAAACTTAATTAGATAACAGTAGCCTAAAAATCATAAAAAATAGTTGCTAAATAATATTTACAATATAATTATCATAATGTTAAATTTATTACCATAAGATAATTTATTTTAAACATTTTCATAATGAAAATTAATGGAGGGAGGCCTTAATTTTAAGCTTTAGAATAGGATGGTAATTCTTAGAAAATGGGTAGAGAATTGAAAAAAAAAAAAAAAAAAAAAAAAAC